GCCACGATTGGGCCCCCCCGCTCCCCCTCACTGCCCCCACCCTCACCAGGCACAGAGAACTATCAGCAGTCCCCCAATCCTCCAGGCTGGTTTATGCCTCCAGGCCTTTGACCATGACCTTGTCCCTGCCTGGAGGCCCCTCCCCACTTTGTCCACCTGGACACCCAGCCTCCCCTCCCAGGCCGCTTGCTCCCTGAGGGCTGTGCCCTCTCGAGCCACCTCTGCAAGGTGGTGGAGCCCAGTGGTTAACATGCTGGCCCAGAGCCCACCGTCTGGGTTCGAATATCAAGTGTGCCAAATAGTGACCATATGCTGCAGAGAAAAATAAAGCTGGGGAGGGAGCTGAAGGATCGTTGCAATTTTCAAAGGCCTCATAGAGAAAGATGGTGACATTTGAATTAAACCTGAAAAAAGTGAGGGAGTAAGCCATGGGGATGTCGGGAGTGGGTGACAATTCCTGGTAGAAGGAACAGCATGTGCCAAGGCCCTGAGGCAGGAATGTACATGGTACATTCAAGCGACGGCAGGAGGCCAGCATAGCTGGAACTGAGCAAACGAAGAGGAGAGGGGCAGAAGGAGGGTCACCAGGATTGGTGGGTCCATTCAGGTCATTGTGAGGACTTTGACAGTGAGATGAGAGCGAGGTGAGGGTTTTGTCTGAAAGAGGGACGTGCTCTGACATTTAAAAGCCTCCCCTGGTTAGACTGTAGAGGAGAAAGGGAGAAAGCAGAGAGACTGGGGAAGGGGTAAGCCACACGGTTATTTAGGTATTTAGGTGAGGGAAGTGTCACAGGCCAGGTGGTGGCAGAGGAGGAGCCGGAGAAGGGCTGGATTGTGTTCTGCTTAGGGCTGGGGAGCTCATCCACACGTCCTTAAACTGGGCAAGCAAGAATTATGTGATCCCTTTTCGTATAGGAAAAAAATCTCCATACAGATAGTATATATGTCTGTGTTTGCACATGGCTATGTGTGCCAGGGAAAGGTGGAAAAGGCCTAAAGCATAATATATTATTCTGGCTTTGGACAAGTCACCCCCTGGAACTTTCTAGGCCTCAGCTGCCTCATCTGTGAAATGGGCACATAGCCCTTGCCTGGGGCAGCGTCGGAGTCCCTGCATACACAGGCAGCTTTGGTTAACGTGTCCTCGCACAGCTCTGGGACACCAGCTCCCGTGCCCCTGTTCCGTGTTCTAGGCCACCTCCCTCCTCCCCCGCTCCGCCCCCCCGACCCTGCTGCCTCCCTTCTCTCTGGTAATAAAGAATGGCTTGAAAATGCCCAGACCTCATTTCGGGAACTTCTGGGGATCAGACAGTGATCCCCAAGTGACTGGGACAGTGGTTCTCTTGAACATGAATCAGCTGAGACACTTGCCCACCTGCAGGTTCCATATCCTCAGATGTGCCACGTCCTCAAAGACTCTGAGGTGTGGAGGACGTCAGGGCCCTGAGTCTGACCCTCATACCCACAGGTCACCATAAGCTGATGCCTGCTCTCTCCCTCTCTCAGGTCAGGTGGGCGTCGAATGGCCAGGGTGGTGCGTGACTTCCTGAAGGCCCAGCAGGTGCAGGCACCTGTGGAGCTGTACTCTGACTGGCTCTCCGTGGGCCACGTGGATGAGTTCCTGAGCTTTGTGCCTACCTCCGACCAAAAGGTGCGTCCCCTCTCCTCCTGCCTGAGCCACCTCTGTCCCTGCCTGAGCTGATGAGATGAAACAAGGCAAAGCCACTTGGAACCAGAACAACAGCTGTGTCCATAGTGAGCTCAGAGTCAGTGTGTTAATCAGCGAGGGCTTCCTGGAGGAGGTCAGAGCCCAGGTCAGGAGGGCGCTCATTGGCTCACTACTCATACACTCATCCTTACACTTACTGGGTGTTTGTTCCAATCCAAACCTCTCGGCCAAGACCCAGAAACGACACTGATAATAACTGATAACATTTACTGAGCATCTACTATGTGTACATGTTTTAATTCCTTTACTCCCCATGATGTGGGTACTATCATCATCGCCCTCATTTTACAGATGAGGAAACTGAGGCTCAGAAGGGCAATTAACTGGTAGGGTAAGATCCAAACCCAGACAGTGGGCTCTGGGCCAGCATGTTAACCACTGGGCTCCACCACCTTGCAGAGGTGGCTCGGGAGGGCACAGCCCTCAGGGAGCAAGCAGCCTGGGAGGGGAGGCTGGGTGTCCTGGTGGACAAAGTGGGGAGGGGCCTCCAGGCAGGACAAGGTCATGGTCAAAGGCCTGGAGGCATAAACCAGCTTGGAGGATTGGGGGACTGCTGATAGCTCTTTGTGCCTGGTGAGGGTGGGGGCAGTGAGGGGGAGAGGGGAGTCCCAATCGTGGTCTGGCCTCTGAACTCGGGCCCCTCCCGAGTTTGGGGCTGCCTGCACCTAGGGGACACCTGCGCCCTGAGCCATTCTCCTGAGCCATTCGCCCTCCCTCTGTGCCAGGGCTTCCGGCGGCTCCTGGCTAGCCCCCAGCGTCTGCCTCAGACTGTTCCAAGAGAAGAAAGAGGATGGGCACGGGGAGGCGGCCCAGTTTGACGGTGAGTGGCAATGACCTGGTGGCCCTGTGGTGACGTTGCCCTCTCGTGGCAGCCCTGGGCACTGCTGATGCCTTTTGTGGCTGTGCCCTGATTACCATTCCTTTGTCTGCAGAGCTCTGAGCTCAGAGCCCGAATCACTCATTCTCCTGACTCCCTCTCATGAGAGCTAAAGATGAGGGTTCTCTCTTCCTTGGGCCAGGGAAGGGAAGCCTGGAGACCCACAGATTGCCCCAGGCACATGCAAGGGGCGACCTCCTCCATATAAAGGGTGGTTCTTGGCCACACCCCAGGAGAGGAAAGGAACAGATCCTACCTGTCTGTGCGGGGCACCTTCACATTCTTGCCCCTTTGCTCTCCACCGCACCCCTCCCCGCCCCCCCTTATTCATTTTCACAAAGGAGGAAAGTGAGATTCAGAGAGCAGTGGTTTGCCCAGGCCACAGAGAGCAGCAGGGCTGCGGGGGAGGTGGGGGCGTGAGGGGAGGGGAGAGGGTGGAGCGGGGTGGGGGGGTTGGGCGCTGAAGGAGGCAGGGGTGAGAAGCCAGGTAGATGGTCAGAATCTCTGTGGACCCTCTTCTGGGAACCGACAGACCCTCCAAGGGCCTGGTTGGCCCCCTTGAACACGCCCCCCTTCCCCACCCCAGACCTCAGTGCCCTCACCTGAGGAATGGGGCATTGGAAAGGAGGTGGAGTAGCCTGTGGCCCTGACAGACCTGGGTTCAAGTTTTGGTCTTGCTGCCTGCTGGCTGTGAGATGCCGGGTGTGTTCTGAACCTCTCAGTGACTCGGTTTCCTCTTCTCTGAATTGGGGGTGATAATTACCCCTACTAAGCATTGTTTTAAAGGTTAATAATAAATCCAGTAGTGGACCCAGAGCATGGTGGGTGTTCGATAATGGTAGCTGTACTGTAATTATTAGGCCCTGAGCCCAGGAGTTCCTTCCCAAGGAGTCTGCAATCCATCTCCAGGATTTCCCAGCAGCCAGAGCCTAGTCCCGCAGGGTTTCCAGTCTCCGGCTTTCTCCATCCTGGCTTTAGACCCTGGCACTGAGGTGGGAGGAAAATCATGGTCTGGATCATGCAGCCCCAGGCCCGAGGTGACCCTGGGCCTCTGTACTGTCCTTTCTCTTTCAGGATTAGAACACCAGGTGAAGAGAAGCATTAATGAAATGCTGGAGGACAGAAGCCTCCGGAGCGACAGTCTTTATGTACAGGTGGGGGGCCGGGCTGCTGCTTGCTCTCGGGGGTCCCCTACCCTCCAGAGAGAACTGCTGGGGTCGGAGTGTGGTGCAGGGCTCAGCCGTGGGCCTCCGGCTGTCCTGGAGGCTGCTGAAACCTGTTCCCAAGCCCCTGCCCTTGAGAACCCACAGTCTGATGGAAGAGACATGGCCTTGCCAGTCTGACGAGGGAGATCTTGCCCTGCTCTGGGGAAAGGATGGGTTTCTGGAAAGCAAAACTGAATTCTGAGAAGCCTGGTGAGAGGACAGAGGTGTGGTAGAGAAATGGGGCCCTGTGGGGGTGAGGGCTGGGGTGGGGGGGAGTCAGGGAGATCTGGAGCGGGGTCTCAGGAAGGGGCCAGGCTATTGCCTGCACATGCCTGGTGCAGGGCCTGGGCAGAGTCCGCGGCTCAGTAAGCCCGAGGAGAGTCCCCGCTTCTCCCCAGCCATGCCGGCACTTTCTTCTAAACGGATGAGAAGGGCTAGAGCATAAGCACTCTGTGCCTGGGACAGTGTAGTATAGTGGCAAGGACTTTGGAACCAGAAACTGCCGGAGTCCAGACCCCAGCTCTGCCACTTCCTAGCTCTGTGCCCTTGGGCAGGTCACTTGAGCCCATCTGGGGCTAGCAGTGGCACAAAGATCAAAGGAATTAAGGGCAAAGAGGGCCCTGCTCAGTGCCCAGCACACAGTAGGTGTTCAGCAAGCGTTAGATCCTCACTTGCTCCCTGCCCCTCCCCCTCCCCCAGAAATGCATCGACTGGAACCGGGAGGTGCTGAAGCGGGAGCTGGGCCTGACCGAGCAGGACATCGTGGACATCCCCCAGCTCTTCTTCCTGAGGGGATCCTATGCGGAAGCCTTCTTCCCGGATATGGTGAGAGCGTGGGCGGAGGACCGGTCATTTCCTGTCTCTGGAGCCTGTTGGGGTCCCCGTGGGGGGTCAGCTGGGCTCCAGAGCACCTGGCTAGTGTCCGTGTGGCCGGATATAGAACATCTCCATCCCCGGTTCTCAACCGGGGTGACATTGCCACCCAGGGCGTTTTGGGTTGCAACAACAAAGGGATGCTCTTGGCATCCAGTGGGCAGAGGTCAGGGATGCCGCCAACCATCGAAGGCCCACAGGCAGCCCCCACACTCAGGGTATTTTTTTCCCAAGTGGAAAAAGGAAGTGTGGTTAGGTTCCAAATATTTTGGGCTTCTGTTTCTGAGCCTCAGCTGCCTGCTCTGCTCCCCCGTGGGGCTCCCGAGTGGGTCAGGCGGTGGCAGCCTCCCTGGCTGTCATTAACTTGGGCACCTGACAAGCAGATGAGCAGATTGTGAGCTCACTGGCGTGGCCTCTGGGAGGGGTGTGAGTGATGCTGTTGGCTCGGTCCTGGCCAGAGTGCCCATTAACCCCCTGGGAAAGGATGCCGGGGTGTCGGCAGCTGTGAGGGATGGTCCCTCAGGATGGGAGACTGTCCCTCTTCAGCCTGATGCCTTTAACTAGAATCCTCGTCATTGGACAAACTGAGGGTTGGAGAGAATGCTAGGGTCCACATGCTGATTGGAGGCAGAGGTATGGGGGTCCTGAGAGAGACTCTAAGGCAGGGCGTCTCCGCCTTGGCTCTACTGGTACTTGGGGCTGGATACTTTCTTTATTGTAAGGGGCTGCCTTGTGCATCAGGGATGGTGCAGCATCCCTGTCCCCTGCCCACTAGATGACAGTAGAGCTCGTTTAACAACCAAAAATGCCCTGGGGGCAAGATCGCCCTTGGATGAGAAACACTGTTCTAAGGCAGTGCTGTTAGAACTTTGTGGGATGATAGAAATGTTCTGTATCTGCGCAATATGACACGGGAGCCACTGAGCCACATGTGGCTACTGAGCACTTGAAATGTGGCCTATGTGGCTGAGGAACAAAATTTTTACTTTTATTTAATTTTAATTTTGATAGTCACATGCGGCTAGTGGCTACTGTTAGACAATGAAGCTCTAAGGGGCAACCTGGCTCTGGTTCTAGCTGAGGATTGGGTGGAAGGCCTGGGCTGGAGTCCATGACCTCGGCCATCCCACCTTGGTCTGTGGCCTTGCCCACACTTGAGGGAAGCCCCCTCCACAACACACACCCCTCTGTGGGAGTGTCCCAACCCTAGTCCCAGCCCTGCTAAAAGATGTCCTCCCTAGAAGGGCCCTTGGGGAATACTCAGTTAACCCCCTCATTTGTCATATGGGAAAACTGAGTCCTCATACAGGAGGAAGGCTACCTGGGCTGGCTCTGGTCCTGAATCCGGAACCTGGCTCCTCTCCCTGACCGTCATCCCTCTACGTACTCCACTCCCCCCCAGACTGTTCTGGCCCATTTGTGGACAACTAGGTAGCTCAGGGCCAAGGCCATGGCACTGACCCCAAGGGACCTTCCAGCTTCATTTTGGTCCCAGTCTGGATGGCCCTGCAGAGCAGATTGAGGGGGAGGGATCAGGGCATGAAGAACATGAGGGCATAGAGTCCAGGGCAGCCCACCCCACATCCAGATGACCCAGCACCGCCCTTTAGACAGCAGGTCCAGAGTGTCTCTTTTGAATACAAAGGGCAGCTTTCTGGCCATCAGTCTTGGGCTAAGGTTTCCTCTTAGAAACCTCCACACCTTCTACCCTTTCCCAGCATTAGGGCCCCCAGCCAGGGAAGCAGAGGTGCTACCAGAGGTAAACCAGATGCCCCCCCAAGGGCTCCCAGGCTGTTGCCCCAACTCTTCAACCCCCCAGGGAGCCACAGTGTTACATTCTAGCAGAGGATAAAGAACCCAGGTTTTAGTGTGAGTTAGACCCAAACCAGATTTTAATCTCTCCCTTCTCTGACTGTGTGTCCAAGCCACAGCCTCAGAGGGAGGCTATGAGGTTTAGTGATGCTATATCTGGCACACAGAAGATGCTCAATAAATGGTAACAATTATCAGGGCTTCCAGGGACAGCTGAGCAAGCTGTGTACTGCATGAGTGCACCACAGCTACAAGGACACTCACATCACAGACTTTTAGATGTGTGCATTTGTTGTGCAAGTTTCTGACAGGTGATGCTAAAATCTCATTCTAACCAAGTGGTTAGGACAATTTTCTGATAGATAGAAGAAAGTGTGGGAGGAGGAAGGGGTGACTTTAATTCAAATAAAGTTACCATGTATGTTACCGGCAGCCCTCCTTTGATTAATTCTGTCTTTCAACCATGAATCATTTCTTCTATGCTTCCGTAGATCTTCATTCTTGAGTGATGCAGGCAAGGATGAGACAGGCCCTGGGAATGAGTCTGCCAGAGCCAGCGTCTAGAAGGGGCCCCCAGGCATACAGTGTCCCCAGCCAGCCAGGGCTCCCTGTTGCCTTCTCTTTTCTACAGGTCAACATGGTGGTTTTAGGCAAGTACCTGGGCATCCCCAAGCCCTTCGGGCCCATCGTCAACGGCCGCTGCTGCCTGGAGGAGAAGGTGCGGTCGCTGCTGGAGCCGCTGGGCCTGCACTGCACCTTCATCAACGACTACTTGTCCTACCACAAGCTGCTCGGGGAGATCCACTGTGGCACCAACGTGCTCCGGAAGCCCTTCCCCTTCAAGTGGTGGCACATGGTTCCCTGAGCCCACTCCCCGCCCGCCATCTTCTCTGCCCGCCTGCCAACGAACCCTGTCCGAGTGAGAGTGAGGAACCTCCCCCGGGCATCCATCCTCTCGGGGAGCCTTGGGCACATCCCCCCGAGTATCTGCAAACGTGCTGGCCACTGTAAGCACCGGGACACAGGGATGGATGCCAAGCGTCCTTGCCTCTGGCACGGCCTGCCCAGCCCCAGGACTGCCCTCATTCCTCCCTCTCTTCCGCAACTCCCAGAGGCTCTGGAGATCGACAGCCCTTCCACGTTCGAGGTGGGCGGTGTGTGGCCTTGGCAGTGCTCCGCTTTCAATTTCTCCCCCGAGTCCTGACACTCCCTTTGGGTTCGCACCAGGAATGGGGCCCCGGGGGCCTGTGCTCTGGTGCAAGGGCCCTGGGTCTAGGCCACCTGTGGCTCTTGTAAGACAAGGAAGGGGGACCCGAGGCACCTTCTTTCCTCAACCAACTATCTTCTCTGGCAGGGGACCCCAGGCTGTGACCTCCCAGCACCATCAGCCATATTTACATAGGCAAATAAGGACCGGAAAACCCAGCTTCAGAGGGCCTGCTTTAAAAAGAAAAAAAAAAAGGCAACAAAAACCCTTTAATACTTGACTCTGTCCTCAGAAGGGTGCTTGTTACCTGTGTGAAAGGCCTGTAATTAAGAGTGCTGGCTGCTTCCAGCTCCAAAATGCTGCAAGGCTAAAGCGAGGCCTGGGAGGGCACACGGAGCAAGGCCTGGCAGGAGGGGCGGAGGCCAGGATGGCAGAGAAGGCCGAGGCAAGAGGACAAAACCTGGGGCCTGGCTTCTGTGTCCTTGGGCTCCTGGGCTTTGGACTCTGGACTCTGGATGTGAAGGTGGCTAGCTGTTCCAGATGTAGCAGGGAGTGGAGGCCCAGAGGTTGGAAGAGGGTGCGGGGGCCATTAGGTTATCTCTGAAGGTGGGGTTTAATTTCCTTTAATAGTCTCTAATTATTCCCCTTCCTTCTGCAGGCAGTGGGAGGGGAGGCTTGCCTGGTTTCTCTCAGCAAGCCGGAGACCCTGTGTGTAGCTTGGGTTTCCCCTGTGAGTAAACCCCAGTGGCAGCCCTGTGTCCCCTCCCATAGAGGGGAAGATGGAGCTGCCACAGGGGTTAATAGTCTGGCCCCGGGTGAGGTCACCGAGACCTGCATAGGCAGGCAGGCTTGTCCAGTGAAGGGCAAGAGATGGCCCCTGGCCCAGGAATGGCCACTGGGGAGCTGGCCTGCTCCCCCCACTGCCTGTGGGGCCATGTCAGGACCTCAGCCCCCAGGCCTTCATCTTCTGGGTTTTCAGTGGCCCCTCGTGAGTCCTAGATTGTCGCGAGACTTAGGCTGAGCCAGCTGCCTTAAACTCTTGTAGCCTTAAAACACGTAGTAATCAGAAGCTTACATGGAAACGCAGCGCATGAACCTGATAAAAACAGAACTGCTCTGGTTTAAGGTGGTGGGGGCACCACCTCGACTTCCAGAAGGTTCTCTGGAATCCCATTTGCAAGCCCATGGTCTAACCTGCTCACTCTCTGATTATAATCGTGAGGACGCCTAGACTGAGCCAAGAGGAGAAGGAAGCTCTTCAGGGGCCAAGGGTGTGTGGTGGCCCAGGCTGGACCAGGAAAAGGATGGAGAGGGGAGGTGGTATTGCAGAGAGATGGGGGCGGGGAGCACGTCTTCTAGAGCGATGCTGTGTGATAAGTGCTGGAATGGCTGTTGGGGCTGTTGGAGATGCTGCTGTCCCCTGTGAGAATATTCTGGGTGACCGGTCACCTCTTTTCTGATTAATAAAAATGTCGACATGCATTTCTTCAAGTGGCTGCCTCCCTAACTTCTTTTTGTTGGGCTGTGGGGAGGAGGGAAAAAAAGAGGGGGCTTGGCTTCCTGTGTCACCTCCTATGCACCAGGTCCTTGGCTCAACTTCCGCTGGCCATGGGCAGCTTCTACCCAGCCGGGAGAGCCCCCGGGACCAGCCCTGGGCGGGCAGGCTACCTCAGCAGGATGGCTGGCACATGCCCATTGCCCTGCTGAGATGGCTGTGCGGGGAGCGTGGGTCCTACCTCTTCATTTCTTCTCCCTTTCCTGGGCTACCTTCTCCATCTCTAAGAGGACAGACAAGCTGGGCCCTATTGGCAGAAGTGGGAGAGTCCCCAGCAGGATTGGTGCCCAGGGCCATAGGCCATTATGATTCCCTTTCATTCCTGCCTCTCTAGCCACTATATTACCCAGCCTCAGTGGACTCATTTCAGAGGCCTGAAAATATTGCCCCTCATTTCCTATACACTTGCTGCTGCCCCAGATTGTACCCTTCAGCATTCACCCACTCACTTATTCATTTTATTTTAGCTTTTGTTGTGGACAAAGAAGCAAAAAGTTTTTGCCATTAGTCATTAACACTTCAGTCTGAATGAATCAGAGATCTTTCTCTAAAAGCCGATATTAACTGGGAAGAGGAGAAGAAGGCATGGGTCTACTGCCAAAGGGAATTCAGGGCTCTGAGCAGGAGGCTAGTCCTGCCCCCAACACAGTGGGCCAGTGTCCAGTGGAAGCCCCCACTTTCCGCATCTACGCCCCAACTGTGCATATGAGCAAGTTAAGGAGACTGCCTGGGACTTCCTCTTGAGCTCTAACTCTTACCCAGAACTGAGTTAGACCTGGCTAAGCCATTTTACAGCCCCCAAAGGGAAACTGTTACTGGATGTGGCAGCCCAGCAGCTCTCCTTGAGAACATTCTTCCCAGAAACTGAGGTATAGGAACACCTGTCTTAGATCCCTGCTGAGATCCTTGAACTGTGCAAGTGCTTCAGCTGGGGACTCTGGGAAGAGGGTCCTGGTCCCTCCGTGCCTAAAATCGTCAGCACTGCCAGAGAGAAGGGAGGAGACCTCTATTCAGCACCTTCTAAACCTCCCCAGGCAGGGCGTGTCCCTGCCATTATTTCTGCCGGGGCTGGTGGTTAGCCACATTTTCTATGGATGAGGAAACCAAGGCCCTGAGAGAGGGGACGTAACCCTGAAGACCACAGCCATGCACGGTGGCATCTGGATTTCTGCCGGGGCTGGTGGTTAGCCACATTTTCTACGGATGAGGAAACCAAGGCCCTGAGAGAGGACCACAGCCATGCACGGTGGCATCTGAATCGAAACCCAAGATTCCTCTCCCCGGAACCCTTGCTCCTGCTGTTTTAGGTGCCTGAGCGCCCCCTCTGGCCTCAGTTCCCCCACCTGAAAAGTGAGGCTTCCTACTCTGACAATCGAAGCTCCCCCTGGCGGGAGAGGGTTTCCACTCTCATCATTTACCCTTCCGGAGACTTTTGGCATTTAATAATAATAACAATAACAACAACATTCATAACAAAATAATGCCAAGCTCTGTACTACACCTCTTCCCACGTTGTCCCATTTAAGCTGCACAACAACTATTTATCAGATGGGAAAAGTGAGGCACAGAGTAATTAAGTGACTTGCCCCAGGCCACCCAGTTGAGGAAGGGCTGAGATCTAGCCCTGCTGTTCAAATCCAGGCTCTTTAAAAAAAAAAAGGCTGGTGTTTCTCAACGTGTATAAAATGCTTTGGGGTGCTCGTGAGAAATCCAGATGTCAGGCTGCACCCCTAACCCGTTGTATCAGTCTGGAGGCTGGGCCCAGGAATCTGCGTTTTACCACCTGCCCCCACAGGGTAGAGAAGCTCCCCATTTAAGCGTATTGTCTCGGAAAATGCAGGAAAAGGGGATATGGAGAATGAGTGTGGAACTCGAGGAAGGCAGAGCAAAACTCACATCTCTGCACCCCTGCAAGGCCCTGGTGCCCTGGTGCCCTGGTGCCCGGCCTGGCCAGGTACCTGTGGCGACTTGCTCCCCTTTAAAGCCAGAAGTGAACTACTTCAGTGCTGAGGTGGGAACAACAGGTTCATATGCAAATGTAAAGTTTCTCCCAGCCAATCCTGAGTTCCGGACTCTGGGAAGGGGCTGGGTTTCCAGGACTGCAGCCAATGAGTTAGCACCCCAGGTCGGGGAGGGAGGGGCAGGGCCAGGGTCTTTTAAACTCTGCCAAGCCCTATGTGGAGCAGTGTTGGGTTTTGTGGCCCAAGCCCAGTCAACCACCAGCATGTCACTGCAGAGGATAGTACGTGTATCCCTGGAGCATCCCACCAGCGCCGTGTGTGTGGCTGGCGTGGAGACCCTCGTGGACATTTATGGGTAAGAGACAGAGGCCTGGGGGTTTGCAGGCCCTTGGTGCTGACCCACCGTGGACTCTCCTTGTGAGCTGTGTAGGGCTTGGGCCTGGCTTGGCTGCCTTCTCTGGAAACTTGGCCTTGGAATACCTGCCAATCACAGAAGCTTGGGTCCCGCCTTTCACAGCTGGGTTTCTTGAAGACCCTATCCAGGGGATTTGAAGTGTGGGAGGCTAAAGTAGGGTGGAGAGGCTTGTAGAGGCTTGTCGGGCCTTGGAGGGTGCTGAAGGGGCTTGGGCACTTTTCTCTGTCTAGAGGACCCTGCAGGCTGGGCTGGGAGTCTGGCTGGGCACACAAGAATAGGAAGAGACATATCATCCCTCCTGGCCTCACCCTCACCGCCCCCATCACCTCCTGCCCCCAGCCTATGAACCTGAAAATAGAGTGTCAATCATGCTTTTAAAAATTACTTACACTTCGATAGCATTTACTCAGTGCCAAACACTGTTCTAAGAGCTTGACAAAGCTCTTGGATTTAACCCTTGACCTCTGACTCTCGGATTTAACTTTCACGATGACCCTATGAGCTAAATTTACTATTAGTGTCATCTCGTTTGACAGATGAGGAAACTGAGGCACAGGGAGGGCAAGCCATTTATTTGCTCAGGTTACTAAGCGGCCAAGCTGGAATTTAAGCCCATTCATAGTCGCGATTCTTATGATTTTAACCATCTGCCATGTGAGGAGGAGGGATCTGGTTTTCTCTAGCCATTCAACGCCCATGCATTATGCCCCTACTGTATGTCCATGTCCTTAAGGCCGGCTGCTGGAGCTGAGGCCCCGCCTTCTCGCTCTCCCAGGAAGAAAAGGAGAGTTTGGGCAGAGTTTTAGGAGCTGGGCTCTGGGAACCGCCAGGGAGCTGGCTACTTAGCCTTCTGGAGAGTCTTCAGGGGCCCTAGCTCCTGAGGCTGGGCTGGGAACACAGGTAATCAAGGGATGGGAGGGAAGAAGGCAGAGCCTTGTCACTGTTCCCATCTTGTAGATCTCCCAGCTTCCTCTCAGACCAGGCCTCTCAACCTCAGCATTATGGGCATGGAAATTCCTTGGGGGGCCGAGGAGTGGGCGAGGCCATCCTGTGCACTGAGAGATGTTGAGCAGCGTCCCTGACTTCTACTCACTAGATGCCAGGAGCACACGTCCCACTTGTGACAACCAAAAATGTGTCTCCGGACACTGCTGAATGGGTCTGGGTTTGGGGGTGGGATCACCCCCGGTTGAGAACCAGTGTCCTGGAGTCAAACTTAAAAATGGCAGTTAACTTAGTCGGAAGCAGAGATGGCGTTAGTCCCAGGATATTAGATGAGAAGGGGTGAGGAGCTGGTCATGGGAGGGAACCAAGTCGGGAGCAGGCCCAGCTCAGCTAGGTAGTGGGAGCAAAAGCCTGGTTGAGAGTGGGTGGGCAGTGAGGAACGGGTAGGGGATTTGGTAGCTTCCAAAAGAGGGGGCAGCCAGAGAGGCTGTTCCAAGAGGGGTATTGAGGGAGGAGGGGTACCCATGCAGCCCAGCGCCACCCCCTTCTCCAGTGTTGTGTGCCCATGGGGGTGACTCGTTTTCCCCAGCTGCCTCCTGCCTGTAGGGCAGATGTGTCTCCAGTTTGACCTGCCCTGGGAAGCTAGAGACTGGCTCCTTCCCCACAGAGCTTCTCGAGGGGATGGAGGGTGGATTGGGACCCTGAGAGACAAAGGCTGCAGTATCTTGGGGTAATGCGAGTGGGTGGGCCATGTTGGGGTTCACAGAGGAGGCTGTGAGTGGGGTGGGGTGGAGTACCTTCAAACAATGGATTCTTGGGTCTCGACCAAATCATGTTGGTATTTCTTTTGGGTCTAGTGTGTGCCCAGGGGACACAGAGGTGAACGAACACACAGGCATGGTCCCTGACTGTGGTTCAGAATTCCAGCAGAAGCTGGACCTTCTCACAGGGCTGCTGCGGAAGGGACTCCTGGCTTGCAGGGGGAGTGGGGCGGGGTTAATGCCAACATCTCTTCCGGCTTGGAGATGCCATAATTTAGCTATCCTGGGTGGTCAGACTGTGCGTCAACAAGAGAAGGGGCAGTGGGCGTGGTCCTCAGTCCTAGCTCCACGTCTTAGCAGCTGTCTGACCCTGAGAAAGTCACTTAACCTCTCTGAGTCTGTTTCTTCATCTGTAGGATGGAGGCAATATAATAATAATAATAGTAATAATGATATCAGCAAAGATACTTAGAGCCAGCTCCATCCAGTTACTGCCCTAAGCACTTTACACGCGTTAGCTAATCCTCGTAACAAATCTATGAAGCAAGTACTATCATTCTCCCCATTTTATAGATGAGGCCAAATGAAAACAATTTGGCCATTACTTCAGAGGTCTATTGGGAGGATTGAATGAGATCGTACATGTAGAGCATGTAGGCCATATGCTGAACGTTCAATAATGGTAACTGTCACCATTATTATCACCGTCGTGATCATTTTCAGCCTTTATCCTGGCCCTGTGGACAGCCTCAAGTGTCCCCAAACCTGCCATATACAAGATCACTAGGGTGCAATCTCTGATCCTTACTGGGAGAAGGAGATAAGAAAAGAGAAAGTA